CCTATATGGCATGGGCTCTAGAAGGAAGAACTGCATCCAGAGACAAAATGATAGTCCTTTCTCCACATTCAACCAGTCTTTGGTCTTTTTGCCAAGGCTGCAGGCTGCTACATCAATGAGTCTCGATTGTTTCCCTGAAATTTTTCATGAAGCCACTTTTCCATTAGGATCTGGACAACGACCAACTCAATGCTCATAATTATTTCTTACATATGGCCTATTTCTTCACAGAACACTGAAGCTATTGATATGGGAAAGGATTTGTTTGTACGATTCAGCCCTCAGTTGTCCAGAAGAAAAATGTCTCCTTATGAGGGCTGCAGTCCAAAGTAGAAGGAACACAGTAGGACTGTCAACATTGGGAAGAAATCTAGGAAAGTGCAAAGGATTAGAGGCAACAAGCAGAGGTTCTGCTTTTACTACACTGGGTTAAAACTGAGGTATTTAGAACAACATATCACAAAAATTAAAGTTACATGTAGGAATGAGCAGGGAAAGGAAGATGGGGGAAGCAGAAGTACAGACATGAAGGGAGCAAAGTGAGATCTATGAGTGGGAACCAAGGCCTTCCTAAAGGGATGCTGAAGAAGAGCCAAAGGAAGACAGAGTCAGAAAAGTAAAGCAGAACAAGACTTGTGAGGTTTTCTCCTATATATTTTCAGAATAATATTAAATTAGTATCAGAAAAGCATTTTAAAACCTATGACATGCAACTAATGCAACCACAAGAAAAAAATGCTGAGCCATTGAAAAGGGCTGTGATTAAAGCTTAAAAAAACCACAACACCTTGACTACAACTTATAGGAAATCATATGAGCAAGAAAGAATGTATTTTAAGTTATTTCCCTTATTAAGGCTGGTAGCTCAACTCTGAATGAGTTGCTTGTAGTATGACCTAGGAATAAATGAAACATGTATTACGTGATCCAACTTTTAGAAGATTCTATCAGACAGATGTTACTTCATCGGATGAAGTTGTGTTACTCTAGAGTTCACAACTAGATGCACCTTTCTGTGGTATGAGCCAAAAATCACAACTAACTTTAAAGCATACTGTTCTGCAGCACAATCCCAAATCAGCTTCCTGCACAAACTGAAATACTCAGAACCAGAGTTCTCTAATACAAAGGAACACTTTGCTGTTAGCATCCCCATTTTTGTGTACTTCCCCAAGCTTAAAAGCCCCTTTTCTCCCCAGTGCGAACCAGAACAGCAGAGGAGGGCTTGGTGCTGCTGTGGATTCAGCGCTGTGGAGGGTTCCAGAGGAAGGGCTTTGTGTCACTGAGGCATAGCTCTGTAGCACTGCAGAAGCCTTATGCAGTGGTTTCATGCCCTAATCTGTAGGACTTCACAGTGTTATTATAGAGGTTATGCAACTTCTGGCTAAAGCTGGGTCTGATTTCAGGGTCAGTGATAATACAAAGTATTCAAAAGCCAAGCACAATGAGTGCAATGACTATTTTTGGGAGCCCAGTTTAGTGCAGTCTATGATAAATCTCCCACCACCTTGAGAATTTCTCCCTACAGAATAAGTGAGCACAGGACACCTATTTTACAGAATGACACTTAAATTAACTGTAACTTCAGTTAACTTCAGAAACTTCAGAAACATTTTAAATTACCACGTCAGTCTTTTGCAAGTTAAGAACAATTGGTTTTAGTTCTCAACAATTTAGCCAAAGCTGAATAATATTCCAAGCAACAAATATTGTTTGTAAATCAAAGAATTGCTACCAAATATAAAAGTTAGACTTCTACCATATAAAAGCAACTCAGAAGATTTGCCAAACTGTGAGGCTATTTACAAAATGTTTATATGCTTTGACTGGTAGAAAACATAAAAGCATAAAGTCCTCCCTCCACAGGCCACACCACTTAGCTTTAATTTATGGTTGAGTTGCCGTCTATCCCTAATAAAAGTACTAATTTGGACATTGCATTCCACTGTGTACTTTTAATTTACAACAGTGACTAATAGTATCACTACATAAAAACTATTCAACACATTAGTGCTCAAAATTCCACTGAGTCTGAGTCTTTCAGCACTGTATTGTTGCCAAAATGCACAGCAAAAATAAAAAAATTATACATAACAAAAAGCAACAATAAAATATATGGGCTATACTTCTTTGAACTACTTTTTGTAGTTGGACATTTCTTTTTCATCATACGCTATCACGCTATCCTGAACTTTAATTTCTTCTGAAGAGAGAGTTCAGAAAAATACCTGGGGCAGTGTTACTGTAATATCTGCAGAGCATCAAGCAAGCCAAAGATGAGAACACACCTGTTGAAATTAGGCAATCCAAAGAGTCAGGGGAAGGGCAATGAAATTCAGTCAGACATACTGGATTCAGAAGTTTAAAAGCAGTTAAAAACTACATTGGGAAAACCATACCCAATTAGAGGAATAACTGAGATTTCATTTGATCCAAATATTTCAAACAAGTCGGGAATAGCCACAGTGTAAGCAGGTATGTTAACAGAAAGGAGAGAGTGCCTCAGGGATCAACATTATAATTGTTATTTGGAAGGACTGTGATTGATTGGAAATGTAACTATAGTACAGAAAGTCAGAAAGGGAAGTAAAGCAGGGGTTTTGCTTTCAGGTTTTTGCTTTTTCTCATATTACGAAGTACAGCAAAATGAGCATTCTTCTTGCAAACAGATTTAACAGCCTGAAGGCATTGTGACTTTCAAAATCACCCAAGCCCTTGTGAAAGAGAAGCAGCACCAGGTGGGTGTTCTGTTCCAACTTCACTGTAGTGAGCACTAAAACTTCCGTCATGGTGCAGCTCTTCAATTAAATATTGTCGTGTGACCATGGCAGGAGGCTCCATTGGGACTCTGCTCTCAATCATAAAGATATAATGGCAGGAATGCAGAAAATAAAAGCTTTTCACTTCGCACCATGTCCTGCTTCCTCTAATTGTGGATGCTTGATGACCAGCTTACACTCAGTCATTGCTTCCCAGCACGCATTTGTACATGTTTGTCATGTTCTGGGCAACAAATACTTCTCCATTTTTTGTTTGCAGAAAAAAGTAACTTGTATTAAAAAGAAACAAAACAAAACAAAACAAAACAAAAAAAAAAAAACCCAAACAAACAAAAAGGACAAATAATTAGTGAGGAAAACTACATCCCTGTTATCTTTTCTGTTCTGTATTTAGATACACATTTAACTTTAAGATTTGTTTTTCCTTAAAAACCAAAACCTTCATTTCAGCTCAGTTGAAGGGGAACTGCACTCTGAAAAATTGTCTCTGTCAATTACTAAGAAAGTCTGCATCATTAAGACACACCAAACTCTTAATATTTAGGACCAGGAAATAAGGTAAGATGAATTGGGATCTCAGTGCTTACCTGTTCACTTTTGCAGACTTACTCTGTGACAGTACTTAATGTTCTTCATTATTATTAGTATTGTGTGCTACTGGATAAATTTGGGAGTGAAAATACTAAGCAAAATGTCAAAAGTGAATCTCAAGTTTAAACAAATCCCGAGATTAAGGTTTAACTGGATGAAAGCAGTTAAATGATGAAAGTCTGTGAAGTGGGGAAAAAAAAAATCACATAAATCTTACCAAACCCTCATGTATCCACCAGCTAAAATGATTCATTCCTGATCACGAGACATGGAGTGATTTTCACCTTTGCCTTTGATTACCTTCCTTTCCAAGAAAGGGAATTCAGAGTCATGTTTCCAGATAGTACCAGAGTAATGAGAAACACACAACCTCATTCTAAGAAAACCTTTAACAACTACAGAAATCTTAGCACATAGCTGCTGGTGTCCAAGGAGTCCCATGAAAAGAGGACACTTAGCTCATATCCCCCCTCTCAAGGAAAGAAGTTTCTCAGAACTTTAATCAGCACATAAAAAGTAAGGTGTCTGTCAGTAGGTCCTCCAAGGAAGGTAAAAAGTGCACAGCAGGAAAATAAGCTTAGTATGGCCTTTCTGCACTGCAGCTCTACTGGATACAGAAACATTGACTGAGGATAACCTCAAAATGAGAACCATTCCACCCGTGGGAGGAACAAGAGTATTAGAACACCATGTAAGACAAGATGTAAAATAAGTTGCACCTGAATCCCCAGCAAAAAGGCAGTTAAGTCTCACAGAGAAATACATTCTCAGTTATCTCCCACTTCACTGTCAACTAAACTGAAAGTCTACTCAAAAAATCCTGTCCTGTAGAATCAGTCAATAAGCAATTACTGCAGTCCAAAAACCAGATGCATGTGGATACATTTTGCAGGCCTACATATGTATTTATAAACATATGTTTTCACACTGTATGAACTTGCACAGTGTAACTAACTTCACTGGATCAGCACCCAATCATGGCAGCTGAGAATCCATCCCTGTGGCTTAAAAAACAGATACAGAGGCTTCACTCTTAGCTACTTGCCTATTGCTTGCAGGGGAAATATGGGTGTTCTTGTTACTGTCTCATTACTAATTCATATTACACTGGTTTTGCTGTCCCTTCCCTTTTAGACCACCTTATCAGTATTCTTCTGTCTATCTTGAAGATCTTGCTGGATGACAGAGAAACCAGACAGACCCCTGAGGCAAAAGCAGATTCCAAACATTATTCTCAAAATGCGCACATCCACAGAGATCATGAAGCCTCTCTCTCTCTAAGCTCACGGAAAAGGGGAATATTAAACAGAAGGTAGAGTTCAAGTTTCAACTGAGAGGTCCCCCCATGCCGCTTCAAATTAATGAGTTACAGTGTCTGTGAAAGAAAGTACACCACCACTACATCTGTATGATCCCAGTGGCAAGAACTTCCATCATCAAAATTCCTAAAAGAAAACAATCACTTTATACAGTCACCTTGGTAAAATAATACAGAACATAAACCGGACAAAAAAGCTGGAAGTGATGTCAGGAAGTAAAAATCACCAGCTCAAACATCTCTCCCAACTGCAAAGCATATGCACAAGTGCAAGAAATGATCACACTTCACCCCATAGCTCAGGCACTCACCTGCCCCAGGTCTAAGGTGACATTGACTTCATTGTACTTCAAGCCCATGGAAAGAGGGGGACTTTGCCACCAGCTCTCAGTGCCATCAATGGCATTGGTTATTGGGTGAGCTTTGCTGGGATCAGCAGCATTGCAGTAATCACAAAACTGGCCCTGAAACACAATCAATCAAAAACATGGTCTCAGACAACATTTTACACATTGATAGCACGTGGTTGTTTGGTTAATGGTGATTCTGAACTAGGGTGTTGACTAAAAACATGGGTAAATTTTGTTCCTTTATATACCATAATTTTTAATGTATAAATTATTCCCCTGGTAATTAAATTACACACTGAAACATATGAACTTTTATGTTACAAACTAAAGCTTCAGAAATCTTAATAAGGGAACTACAGTAAATCTTAATCTTATTAACTTATTGACATTTTGATGAAATTACCTATATTATTTCTACAGGAAATCTGCAGAAAATTAGTGAAATAAAGATTCTTAGAACTGGATTAGGAACAACAAACAAATTATCCTCAATTCTTCTAAAATACTATGAACACATGCACAAAACCATAACAAAAAAAGCTCTGTTACTTGGCTATAAGTTTGGTATTAGAATTTTATAACACTGTTTTCATTTTTTCATGCCATTAAAATACATTCTGAATCCAAGTTTTCTAAACAATATGTATGGGTGTAAAATGCAACAGACTGTTCCCTTTAAAGAATGCCATTGTACCTTCATTTCAAGAAGTTACTGCCCAATTTCCAGTCCACAACTAAAGCCACAATCCAGAGATGCCCTTTGAGAGTCTCTTAAGCTCTTTGTACAATAATGATGAATCAACTTCAGGAAACTTAATTGTCTTTTGATTTCATGTCTTGGCTTGCCATACCAACTATTTTTATCTCCAAGAAAACACATTTTACAGTCTACTAAGATTAGTGCTGAACTGCTGAAATTAGTTATTAAGGGACCTTTTTAGTGTCCCATTCACTTCTTATTCCAACACTAGGTGGAGATAATCAGTGAAAATGCTAAACTGTGCCAGCTACAGATCTTTGTAGAAAAATAACATTTTCATTGAATGGCAGTACACTCCCCATGGCTACTTCAGTAGGACAGTTGCTTAATCCATCAGACTGTGAGTTGCTGACACTGTGTTTGACTCCTGTTCAAAATAAAGGGAATGGGGCAAATGTTACCTTGTCAACTAAGCACATGCTACCATCAAAAGCATGTGACAGATCTTTTGTTGTTTCCACAATCTGCACTGCCAGGCACGAAGCGCATTCCTACCCTTTAAGAATTAAAAGGCTCCTATGTAAGTGCCATTGTTTTGTTTGTTACAGCTGTCAGACTAACCAGTGTAAAGTAACTGGAGAAATCATACTTGTCCACTTTTTACAGAGAAGTAACAGAAGAGCTCTCACACTCTTGCTGGGTGCAGTCTTGCAAGCTTGGTGAGTTTAAGATGTTTAGCAGAATTCATTTAACATCTACTATAGTTAGATTGGAAAATACTTCATCAATTTCATGTGATATGAATATACCATCCTGTACCTTTCAAACTGAATAGAAAATTGATGTTTGAAACTGAAATAGATATTCACTGAATTGACTATTTCTGCATCAGTAGCAGTGATTTCAGCATCTGCATTTAGCAGTAGTTCCATCCTCATCCTGCTCTTCCAGAAAGCCCAGAATATAATGCAGTTTCCAGAAGACATGGCTACCATTAGCTGTTCTGATTTAGCACAGCCAATGCCAATGTGGCTGGGGGTTAACTCTTGACAATTCAGAGGACTAAATACTCACACACATGAGCTGGTTAACTACAGCTGGGGTCATGTTATAACACGATTCTCCTCCAGCTCTGTTAGAGAAGATGGTTTGGATGGTTTGGCTGACTTTAATACAAACTACAATAGGGCAGGACTCTGTCTGATTCAGGTGGTTTGCTGCAGCAGATACACATCAGCCCGTGTTAGCTACAGGCAACGCTGCCAGTTTCTGCAGCGATGACAAAGAACATCATGTCACTATCTGCAAAAATCCATACCCTGAGAAATCAATCTATGCACTGGCAACTGCAGTTACCACCACATCAGAGCATCCTCCCTGACAAATGCATACCTGAGTTCTGACATATATGTTACAACAGGGCAAATTTCCCTAAATAGCTTTATAATAAGCTTGAAACCTAGTCTTTAGATCTAAATTACATTCACAAAGATCAGACTGGAAGTACACAGGAAACAGTTGCTGTTAAGCAGTTTCAGCTCTGATCTGGAAACAACCTCAAAGAAAGGTTGAATGAGAAGAAAACAATGGTGAGTATTAAACACAAGAGTTTAATTTACATGCATTTATGTGATTTCCAGTGATATGTATATCAGATCACTTGATCTGAACTCAAGATACCATCTTTCTCTTTTTCGGCACATAATTCAAAGAATTTCATTGCAACAGCTGGAGTTTCAGTTATTTAAATTACATTCCAGCAACCCTGCCAACTAGGCAGCAAAACAAAAATGAAAGAAAAAATTATTGGATAGAGCAGCCTTCCTTCCTTCTCACTGGCAGTATCTCAGGCACATCGTGCTCTGCCTGGTTGTTACAGGACACGTCTCCATTCTAGTAGACTGAGCCTTGAAACTTGGTTTGATTTTGGCTGCAGTTCATAAGACAAGCAGGTGTGCATTTGCTGGTGACCTTGCTACCCTCCTTTCCCCTGCTTTTCCTGAGCAAAGGAGAGACCTGGAACTGCATGAAAGAGTTTGCTGAAATATGCTCGTGTGGACCAGGGACACACGGGGATGAAAATGTCTTGCCTGTAAGTTATAGAAAGTGACAACAATGAAGGATTTGTTCCCTTTTTCATACCCAGCAGCTCTGTGCCACTGGCAGGGCAGGACAGGTATGCAGTTAGACTTAAACTCACGCCTGCACACCACTGTGGACAGACTGGCAGGCAAAACCAGGCATGCCACTTATCTATCAGCTGCTGAAATATTTTATACTGTTGTGCATTTCTTCACTCAACACTGTTCTCATTAAGTCATTTCCTACATGCCAGTGTGCTACATAAGGGAAACCCACCTCTTTCCACAGTGAATGTCCACTACTGCCTTAAGAGCCTTGGTTGAGCTGCCCACTAAGGGACTGGCCACTCCACTGACCACCTTTAAACAACATCCAAATGCTCTTTCTGGATTTGCTGGATATTACAGGCTTCATTAAAAGACACATCACTAAATGACAAGCTGAATGAGAACAACCAATGGCAGAGCAATGGAAATGATGCTAGGGCTGCTCTTCCTCTTTGCCTTATTTTCAGATAGCAATGGCAGCAGAGCTGTCTGCTCCCTTTGCCAGAATGAGGATCACATTCTGCACCTCCTTTCCAATTTCCCTACTCATAGAGCAACTCCTGCAATCCAGCATTGTAGAGAGTCCAAAAGAGAGTGACTCAAGTGTGTGGTATCACTTGAACTTGAACCAGCACAGCACAGTGGCTATTACACCTATCACTTTGTAAAAGCCACATGACCTTCCCTCACGACTCTCAAGAAACCCACTTGATTTTAAATTGCTGATTTTAAATCCTTCTATGTAAGCTCATGTTCTGTAAAAGTTTAATGCAATTCTCTCCAATTTTCCATGAAAGAAGAAATTCTCTTATTTACAGTGTCTTTGAACTTGAGAGGTGAAGTTGCTTGAGAATACACACATTGTGCATTTTCCATGTCTGGATTTGTCTGGACTTCCCTGGCCTTTTGAAAGATTTTCCAGCACTTCTTGAACCACAACAACTACTGGTAAACCACAGAAGCTTCATGTTATGTATCTCAATGGGGCTTTGTTAAAAGTGGAAAGGGATTCTGCAAGTGTCTGTCCTTACACAAACGCTCTGAGAGGCACAGCATGCTTCCTCCTGCCAGGGCTGAGCTATCAGTAGTCCTTCTGGTAACTTTAATTGAGCATGAACCATAACAGCCCTCTAACCTAGGACCTGCAAGTCAAGTATCTAAGAAGAACTCCCCCCTTTCTAGCCTCCTTCTTCCTTTACACAGCAAATCCTCATTTCCAGTTGAGCATTAGTATATAAAGGAAACAACTACAAAAACCATCAGAGGCAGCACACAGGCTTCGTTCCGCTTGCTTGACAAGTTTATCTGATGTTTGCTTTGGCTGATTTTTATTGCCCTGTGATTTCTGATATTTCAAGGCATGTCGGTTTGAGATTTCTTTGCAGCAGTGGGCTGTAGCGAGTTGCTGAGGGATTGCTGGGTTTACAATTTACCTGGCGGCACGGTTGTTTCGGGCAACTTTAAACATGGGTGCTGCATTCAGTATGGAAGGATGGGAGCCTAAACTTTAGAGGTTAGAAACAGCAAACCAAGCAGTCTCCTGATCATCACAACCTTTTTTTGTAACCTCAGTTTAAGCATGTAATACCTGTGTCCCAGTTTTCCCTCTACTAGAACTGTATACTACTCAGCCATCTCCAAAGTACTTTGAGCTTTTTTTATGACTGAAAGCACTACAGAGATATAAGGTAACATAAAAAGAGAGAGAGAGCTATAAGACGATTTCATTGTGAGGCAGGGAGTTATGGCAGAGGGAAGTCCAGAGCAAAGCACAGTGCTGTCTGTGGCCGCCCAATGACCTGAAGGACAGGTTTCATGATGGTGCATGCTCCCTTCTGGCACATGGCAATACACATGCTGCACCTTCTTTGTCCTTTCCCCCTCTCTTGAGTGCCTATTCTCATTAAAAAATGAGAAGAACAACTCTGTTACCCATTGCAACCCTTTCTGAAACCATATCTTAAGGGTTATTTCACTATAAAACATGCATAGGACTTTGAAACACTACCTCTTCCTCCAAGATGCTAAAAATTTACTTGTACACTTTCTGTATTGCCTGAAGTCAGACAGTGGAACTTTAAGCTTTCAAAATCCCTTTCAAATTGCAGTTTCTTTCTGGTTCTCCTCCCACCAAGAGAAAATACTTTTAAAATAGCTTTGGAAGGTTTGAGGCTTCAGGAAAGTCCCTTCCTTTAACAAAGCTCTGATCAAACAGATACCAAGCATCTATCACAGTACAACAGTTTGGTGCATTTGTTACTCCTTCCTTATCCTCTAGCAAATGTGGAAATACATGTTTCTCCCAAAGGAAAGATATATTTTCATTAATCCTTTTTCAGAAGTTTTGCAGTTTATTGTTATCTTTCTTGTGACTGGCACAAAACGTGTGCAGTAATCTTGAGCTATGCTAGGAAAGAACAGCATGCTCCTTGCTGCCCTCTGCGCTTATACTCCCTGTCAGAGTCCCAAGTCTCTGGCTTCCTCCCACAAGCAATGCAAGGCACAGACGATAAGCTTCACATTTAGTGCTTCCAAAACACCACAAAATACTTGACTAAAGCCAGGACTCTTTTCCCACCGCCTGCAGAGAGATGCCCGCTGTCCAGTCAGCAGCTGCCAGCGAAGCCCCGTCCCATGCGCTCTCCCAGGCTCGCTGATTTACCCCCGGTGATCTCGCTGCTCACCGCAGACCACGGCCACAAAACACCGCCCCGGGGCACTCCAGGTGCCCGAGCAGCTCACACACGCCCGGCAGCAGCCGCACCCGTGCGGGTGTGTGGCTCCAGGAGGTGCCGGGACACCTGAGGGCAGGTGCGCTGTCCGCTTCCCTCCATCCTCCCCGGCGCTTCCCTGCCTGGCCTCCCGCCGGTCCACGCTCCCCTTCCCATGCCCGCGGCACACGCTCAGCCAGGAGGAAACGAGACCGCGCACAGCAGGGTCACATGAGACCATCCCAAAAAGCCACACACCGCCACACACACCCCGGGGATGCCCGGTTACCTGGATGGCGCGTCCCAGCGGGGCGGCGGCCGGGCCCCCCACCAGCTTGCAGAAGAGCTGCGGCCGCCCGCCGCCGCCCGCCGCCTCGCCGCAGGTGGCCGTGGCCCAGATGCGGGCGGCCGCCGCCAGGTTGAAGTAGGGCGGGTGGAGGCTGAGCCCCGGCTGCGCCCCGCCGGGGCCCGGCTGCGCGGCGCCGAGGGCGAGCAGCGGCGGCAGCAGCGCCCAGAGCAGCGCGGGGCCCGGCGGCGCGGCCATCCTGAGGCGGGCCCGGCCCTCGCCGCCCCGGGGGGCACTGCCGCGGCTGTGCGCGGGCGGGAGCGGGGCAGGAGAAGGAACGGCCACTGGGAAGGAGCAGGAGCAGGAGCAGGAGCAGGAGCAGGAGCAGGAGCAGGAGCAGGAGCAGGCTGGGGGCTGCCTGCACCTCTCTCCCGTCCTGCCTGCGCTGCGCTGCGCGGTGCGGGCTGGGGCGGGACGAGGCGCAGCCCCGTCCCCCGGGGCGTGCGGTGCGCTGAACGGGGCGGGACGGGACGGGACGGGGGAAGGGTCTCCGGGATGGCGGGGTTGCCCCAGGTGTGTGCCCGGGCGCCCAGCTCCGCGGGCATGCCCAGAGGTGCCGCCTCCGGCTGAGCTGGAGCTCTCCTCTTCCCCGGTGAGTGCGCGGGTCAGTATTCGTGACAGAACGTGAAGAAGTCTCAGAGCATGCCACACTCTTAATCTGCCCACAACACGTTACATTGGTGATGCCCCATTCCTGGGAGTGTTCAAGGCCAGGCTGGATGGGGCTCTGAGCGTCCTCCTAGAGGGAGGTCACCCTGCCCAGGGCGGGGGGCTTGGAAAACTAGATGATCATTGAGGTTCCTTCCAACCCAAACCATTGTGATTGACTGATAACCCCTGACCTGTCATGTCACATACCGGGAGTAAAGTGACTAGTAAGGTATCCAAGCTTCCTCCACGAGCAGGAACATCCTCACACAAGGAGATGTATCTCCACACAAGGTACCTCTCTGCAGGGTATACCTTGTGTGTATACAGATCCTCAATGAGACCCTGTGTGACTGTGGCAGAAATCGCAGCTCCTCTCGCTGTTTTCAGTGCTCTGAGGCTGCTGGAAACCCTGCAGTGTGGGACACCCTCCTGCAATGCACAGTCAGGGCTCGCAGCTCCTTGTGAAATGGGTGTTCCTGCTCATCCAGGGCAGACAATGAGTCTCCTGTCTTTTTGGAGCTGTTTGGCACAGACTTTGGATAACACAGGAGCCTGGGGGGGTGAGGGGGAAGGTTGGGGAGGGAGAAGGAGGCCTAAGAACCATCTCATCTGCATCAGGATTTGCACTGATTAATGGCATTTCTATCCTACTTTTGACACCTATTCACATTTCCAATCCTACACATGCTCACACATCCAGTGTTCATTCTTCTTAAAACAATTTGAGGGATTCAGACAAAAGATATGGGTAGATACAAGTGCTTACAATAGTTTAAGAGTGATTCATGTGAGTTGCAAAGCATTTCATAACTTTCTGAAAGCTTTGCTACATGCCACTGAGCAGTGGCAAGAGAGATCCCTGGTGTACTGTTTCAGGAAACACCAGCCCCAAGCTATTGATTTTGCCTACAAGAAAATCTCACCACCCTTGTTTGTTTGGCCATGCCTTTAGCACACCATAGAGACATATCTCTGGGAGACAATTTTTGTGTCCTCCATAATAAAAGTTGACTTTCATAAATGTAGCATGCTGTCAATTCACATGTCGGATTTCAAAAGTTCTTTTCTCTTCTAGAGCACCTTAAAATATTCCCCTTTTCTAACTGTTACATCTTATTGCATAAATACATCATTTCACTCCATCAAATAGATTGCACTTCATAAGAAATACCAGAGGTTTGAATACAAACAAATGTTCCATTAACCAAAATGCCATGCTATCAGATAGGACAGCCACTGATCATTTCAAACTATTTGTTGAAAAATAGTTAAATTCCAAATGTATCCTGGAGTATATCACTTTTTACAAATGGAGATCTGGAAGTATCTGATGGAAGTCCAGAGCAAGCAGGCTTCGAAAGGCCTGCCCACTTTTTTGGGTGGTTCGGGTAAGGAACCAAGCTCCAGGAGATCTTTTGCAATCTCACTTTGAAGAGGAGATTCTTGTGAGCCTTTTGGTGGGTTTCTCACAAGAGATGTCCATTCTCAAACAGGGAATTTTAATTTATTGGTAAGCGTCACATGAGAAAACACAACTTACACAAGCAAGAACCTAATAGTTTAGTAAAATAATTACATATTCTTGGATCTAGTTTCCTAAAAGTTAAAACCAGGAAAAGTTGTAAACATTCACAAAATTCATCTATCAGATAGAAAAAGAGAGGGAAAAATTTTTCTGGTTTTTCCCTGATAAAATTGTGTGCATTTTCCTTAATGTATACCTAGATTTAAAAACATTTTGTTGGTCTTCTAGGTGACTTTTCTGTCCTTTTGTAAATCACTTACGCCAAACATGGGTTTGGTTTTTTTTTAATTCAGTGTGTTTTCTAGAAATAGAGATCAATAGAGATATTGATCTCTATTTCTAGAGATTTTAGATTTAGAGAGATTTCTAGAGATTTTAGATTTTCTTGAAAAATCTCTAGGGATCTCTCTAAATTTGTGGGCAGGCATTATGAAACATGCAATGACAATTTTTGCCTTTGACTCAAAGTGATTAGAAAAAATGTTTATAGGGGCGTTCCCAGCACAGGTATTCGATAACTTGATTCCTATAAAAAGTTCATGGAGAATTATCCAAAAATTTTATGCAGAGAGCCTGGAGCTATGCAAAGCCAGAGATAATAATTTGCATGAGGAAGCAGACAGAGCACTAGTGTGGGTGTGTATATGGAGGTGATGATAACAGCATGGCCTGTCACTCGCAGTTGGAAAACTGAAGTTTTTCTGTGACTTCACTGAGTTTTGGCTCACCTTATCTAATGTAGAACTTCATCCTCTAAAAAGGTCACTATCAATAATTAATGACATAATACTTCATCTTCCCCTCATGTCATCTTTTTTTTGTAATTACAAGTTCCAGAAACACAGGTAAGAATTTATTATCTGGCAGCTCTCTGCAATCAGCATTTATGAGACAGTGCCCCTCTGCAGAAAACATTCTTCTCCAGCTATCTGCCCTTTTTTCTTCCCAATAGAGCATTTCCTCCATTTTTGTTCAGCCTTTTTAAGGTTTGCTTTCCTTATTTCTTCCTGTCTTCAAGGAGTAAACTTTGTTAGTTGAGCACTTTATTGAATAAATGTAGGCAACTTAAAATGTTACTGGGTCTGTATTGTTATAACATAAGCAGATTACATTACATTATTAGGCATTTATGCTACTATGAATATAGATCATTCTTTCTATTTTAAATAATGTTCATTTAAAATTTCAAGTCAAGAATGTTTGTTGAAAATTAGCCTTGCTGATGTAACTTCTGTTTCACTCTCTTATTGATATGTGCAGTACAGCATATCTCATCTTGTACTGCTGTTTCATATATGTTACATTATAAACCTCCAGTGAAAATGAAACTATCAATAGATAGTCCCAGTGAGTAACATTTTTTATTGCTCACTGAGCAATTAGTGGTAATATTTAGCTCCTACTTTACCATCCCACATTTCCACACATGGTGTTATGGGAATTTGCTCTTTGTTTTTGTGATAATAATGAATCAATATCAAACCAGGTAGCCAGAAAGTCTCTCTGATTAGATAGTCCTGAGTCTCTGCTCAGTGATCATTATAGATTAAATTGTGCATCTTGTTACCCCATTAATGTTTCCTATCCAGCATTTATGTTTAAGCCAGTCTTAATAATCTTGAGGAGAGACTCAATACTTTGCAGGAAGACTCTCCCACAGACTAAATCTTCACCAGGTAAGCATGTATCTAGCCTAGAATGTAAATACCCAACCAGAAGCTTTCAAGCTCAGATAATGATCCCTACTTTTATCACGGAAATAAGGCATTTATCACATCCTGTCATAAATGCTTATGCATGACTAATACTCAGTTCATGTCTATATGTAAACTTTCATTAGTTTTAATAACAGCTTTTCACAGTAAACCTAGAGTAAAATAAGGTTACTTGCAGGCACTCTGGTTTAATAGGAAAACAGTGCAATGTGCTGGCAAGACCAGTGTCCTCACTGAATACCATTGAATAAGATGCATTCTGTTTAAGATCATTTTGGCCTCTGATTTTCTGACAAAAGTAGCTTTTTCATCTCTCAGAAATGCCTTTAGTATTTGAGGACCCTACCATGTCACTTTGAAAAAGATAAATTATCTTCCTTGTAACTGGAATAGAGGCATACAGAGGCTAGGACTGAGGTCTAAAATGCAGCTCTATCAGCAGAAAGTTTCGCTTGCTACATTACTGAATGTAATCCCAAACTCAGTTATTCAGAACTGCACTTTTGTTCTGTCCTTTGGTTTGAGTTCATTTTCTCTTGTTTCTTTCACCTGTTTCTTTCTGGATTTACACACTAAGATTACGCCATCCTCCTTAATAGGCCATCTTTTTTCTGAATGCCCTTGTACTGTGTCTGCTAGATCTTCTTATCCATCCAATTGGAGCCTCTCTTACTGTCTGTCCTATCTTCTCAAACGATTCAGGTATTTCAGCTGATGCTTTCTGAACTTTTTCATAATTAGATGGCTGCATAATGGTGCTGTACCGTGCAAATGTGCTTGTTGCATGGTAGTTTAGTTGCTACCATTTACTTAGCATCATTCTACAGCCTAATACAAGGTATGTCTTTCCTTCTGCCAGACAGCAATCTCATGTACTAAGATTTTACTGTACATTCTGCTTCCTAAGTTAACTTGACATAGTCTTATAATAGAAAACCACTGTAAATACTCTCAATTTCTAAGGGCTCTCAAGTTAAATTGAAAGATCTGAAGAGCATTCTCATCATAACTCTTATATTTTTTTTATCTTTTGTCTTTCTTTCCTATTTCTTGTATTTCTCAAAATGTTCTGGCTGTAAACAACTTACTAGTAAGCATTCATGGCCTGATGGGATTGTGGGCCAAGAAACTTTAAAATGGCTTTGTGGCAGATTGGTATTTCATGCTCTTTCACTGCGGAGAAGTGCTAAGCTTCCCTCCTCCTTAAAGAGGAGGGAAGGTGAATGTTTGCTACTTTACAGCACTTTCCCCATTAATGGGAAGGCAAATTGTAATTTTCCTGAGAAGGGAAATTACATTTTCAAGGC